ACCTAGTATTAAGTATTAGTATAGAGTATTAGGGCCTTAAGCCCTCTAGTATAGAGTAAAATAGAGGGGGAAGTACCCTTATACCTTCTAATATAAAGTAGTACGCTAAGCTAATAAGCTTAGTAGTAGCTATATTATTATTTATAACGCTCTCTCTATTAATTAGTATAAAGTATACCTATTAATATTTAAGCCCTACTATACTTATACTTATACCTAAGTTTAAGTTACCTCTACTTTAATATTATAGAGGGCTTATATAAAGAAGGGCTACTCTTTAAAATAACTAGAGATATATATAGCCTCTATATAGAGGTATTTAAAGCTATTATTTATTACTTTAATTATAGTATAGAGAAAATCCCTTTTAAAAGTTTTTATAAGGATTTTAGTTATTACTACTTTAATAATATACTACTAATTAATAAAAAAGTATTTATTAAATTTAAAGGCTTTATTTAGTATATAGATATTATCCTATATAGTAATACCTTTAGCTATTTATTTATAAAAAAGTTTACTTTATAAGGGATTAATATTCTTATATATCTTTTATAATATAAATATTATAAAGGACTTATTATAGGTTAATAAAGAAGAAGAAGAGGAAGAGGGATAAGTATAAAGCTTTATATATAATAGAGTTTTTAAACTTCTAGCTATAAGAACCTCTTCTAATAACCTCTTTAGTTAAAGAGTTATCTCTTATATAGTAGTATTAACCTTATTAGAGAGTTTAGTAAAGCTATTATTAAGCTATAAGAGCTTTAGTAACCTATTTAACTTTAATATAATTAGCCTTATTATATATAATACTATTAGCTTTATACTATATAACTAATGCTATTACTATTCTATTAGTCTATTTAGCTAGAGTATATATTTAACTTTATATAAGGGTTTACTTACTAATAAGAATATATAAGGTTTTTATATTGTTTTCTTTAATTAGTAGAAAGTATAGGTTAAAGTACTTATATAGTATTTCTAGAATTATACCTATATATAGAGTGAATTTTGCTATAGTTTTTTTATAGGGGGGCTGCGTTATAACTATAAACTTAATTATTATTACTTAGTTTAGCTATTTTATTAAAAAGATTTTTAAATATATTAATATTATTAATTTTATAATATCTAATATTACTAATTTATATAACTTATTAATAGCTTAAGCTGTTAAGTAATAAGTATAATAATAAGTATATATATATTATTATTAATAAAACTCTTTTCTCTTTATATTTATTTTATATTAAAATAAAAACTATTATAGTAAAGTAAAAGAGAAAGCTTATTAGTTATACTAAATACTCTACTTTAAATAAAAGAAACCTCTAAAAATCTCTAAATGCTTATATATTAACTTTTTATATAATTATAAGAGGTATAAGAATAAATATATAAATATAAACTTAATTAAATTATATTTTATCTATAGTTTCTACTATTTTTATCTCTTTAATTATATATTTATTTAAGAGAAAATAAGTTATTAATAAGAAGTTTAGTAGTATTATTCTTATAATAATATACTTTTTTAAATTTTTAAATAATATAAGAAATATAATAAGAATTAAAAAAGAGAATATAATTAGAGTTAACTAAAGCTACAATAACTTAAAAACTACTTATTTTTATTTTATTTAAATTTTCTTTTAANACTTAAAAACTACTTATTTTTATTTTATTTAAATTTTCTTTTAATAAACTTTTATTATAAACTAAGCTAAAAAAATTTTAAAAAATTCTCTTAGTAAACTAATTACTAAAGTTATTAAGAAAAATAAATAATATATAAAGTTAATCATTTTTTATTTATTTACTTAGTTTTTTATTATAAGCTAATTAGATTTCTATCTATTTATAGAAGCTAATTCTCCTTCTAATTATACTTAATACTTATAAAAATACCTATTTTAATTTTTATTTTTAAGTTTAAATTATTAAAAATTCTAAGAACTTTACTCTTTTATACTATTTTAATTTATACTTATACTTAATTAAACTTTTTTACTTCTTATATAATAAGAACTATATA